CCTGTAGGTTTCTCTGCAGGAGATCCTGCTGGTAGAACAGAGGCTTGATCTCTGGCCACAGACTGCGTACAGGCCAGTAGAAGTCCATGAATGGAGTGAGTGCAGACTGGACTCCATGAGAGCACAGCATCTTCAGTGTGTTTAGTGTTCAGTCCTCTTCTTGTGAGATGAAACACTGTTCAGGTGTCTGTTGTCTTCTTGGTGTTGCTTGTCTTGCTTTCTGTCTCAGCAGCAGTGAGACTGTCCCAGTTTATATATACTAAATGGAAGACATCCAGAGTCTTCAGGAATGTTCTGGTCTTTGCCACAGATCTCCACTGGGTAGCGCTGTTTGACCGGACTAATGACATCACTCGTCAATTGCTCATCCATCATGTCTGACTTCTTTTCTGTGAAACTATTTGATTACCGCATGTATTTACTAATGTCCATATAGGCTGCCTCAGTGACAAAAACATGTAAAATATATAAATGTGTAATAAGCTTTGACTTCAGATTATAGGTTTGCATTTCCATTTAATTGCAATACCCAAAAAATCACCACAGGTGACAGTTCATCGGGAATACAAACTTCACTTGACTATTCCTGTTGGATCAAATACTTATTTTTGAATATCTTGTTTGGATTTTGTAATACAGGTAATTTATTGATGTACAGTGTTTCCCCAATTTGACTTTATTTAAAGTTTATTTAAAATAATCTGTACCAAAAATTCTAGACAGTGCGTTTATTATTCCTCTTCCATCAAAATTTATGTTTTACAAATATTTTTATTCTACGTTTTTCCATGAAAGCTGCATTAATAAACGTCTCCAGCATACATCTGCAAATTCAAAAGCAACCTTGATATTGACCTTCTAAGAATTAATCACACAGTTTTTGATTTTACTGAGCTGATGAGGTTTCTTTTCTTCATGTACAGACGTTCTTCCTGACAAAGAAGGTTACAGGACTACTTGAAATATACTGTGATCAATGCACACAAATAATCAAGAATGTATTGTCTGAAACGCTGTGCCTTTTTTTTCTATGCGCGATCAATTTCCACTTAAAATACTACTACTAAAAATAATACTAATATATAAATATAGAAGTATTCTCCACTGTGGTCAAAGAACACAAAAACAAAAACAAGGAAAAAAACATCTGTCATTTCAGAATTATATTAACGAATATGTATTCACTGGAATGTCACCTCTACGCATTCAGGCAAGGCATTTTTTTTAACGAAATGACTTAAAACACACAGTTTAGCTTTTATGATATTTATTCATTATCAGATAAAAAATACTAAAGCACACAGAATCATAAATTATCAGCATTGTTGAGATGCAACAATGTTCAAGTGTCTATTCTCTTGACTTATCCCTTCTTTCATTCTCTTTATCCTCTTATATTATAACTAAAAGAGGTCAGAATTCAGCAGGAACCTTCTGGTCGCTACCACAGATCTTCACTGGGTGGGGCTGTTACTCAGGCTTACTGACATTAAATCATCACTCCTGTGTTTTCAGGAACTTGCCTTCATTTGCATCACTGCAACACTAGATGCCTGTCTAAACTATCATTAGATAATATTGTCAGATCTAATCTGAGTATCATCTCAACAAAAGCATACATATAAACAAATATAAATGTATATGTATACACATATAAACACAATTAGGGTGTTTGTTTTTATACAATGTTTTAAAAAATATATATGTTGTGCTTAGTATTCATCATCTTCATAATCTTTCCTGTCTTTTCTTTGGATGGACTCCTCCAAATGCATTACTCTGAAGCCACTGTCTGCCTATTAGTACTAAGATCAATAACTGAGACCAGACAAGAATGGGCTACTAATATAATCAAGAAGAAAGAAGAGACGAGCGCGCCAAACACTAGAGTTATCCATAAACATTTCAGACTGCAAGTGCAGAAATATTTACTTAAATGTGATCTCTGCTGTTTGTGCCATGCTGCTGATTTGTAATGTGTCTATTAATGCACTTAAACTCTTACTGAGTATTTTATCTTTCAAGAAATGCTGAAGTTCATCTTTTTTATTCACAACCAAACTCCAGTGTTACAACATCTATATACCCGTGAACATTGTCCATGTTTAAGGCAACTTATAGCGTTTTGAATAACAACTGCATAATTTTACTTTATCAGTGATTTTCAGATTTTCATGACTTGAAAGACATTGTTGTTTTATGCTTTATGATTGAATACAAGAAGTTGGAAGAAGTTAGCATCATAGATTGACGCTAAAAAAACTGTTTTTCTGGCAGCAGAAAACATTTTTAAAAAGTTTTTTTTAAGGATTACAACCATGTAGATACATACACACCTTTCAAAGTCAAGCATTGCTTTTTTTGAGGTACAGAAGGCATCACATGAAAATTATACATTTAATCAAGCTGTGTTGCAGTTTTGAAGTGAAAGTTAAACATCAGAACATTTTAAGAGAAACTGCTGACTTAAAGGGAAGAAAATAGTGCCAAGAAATTTAAGAAAGGGGGGGAAAAAACTATGTTCACCAGCCACTGTATAAATACATCTAAATCATTTACAATGGTAAAATATTTTCTATAGTTAACAAAATAAACCTTTAAGTTAAAGAAGAGTAAATACATACAAATGGTGAATAAGGGGCCAGAATGTATGCCCTTAATCTGTGATGCCTTATTAACAAACCCTCTTTGAGGTAGATTGGTCTCCTATTCAGTTTTTAACTCCACACAGGAAATCTCCATTATGTGACCTTTCTTAACGTGACAATGCCTGATTGATATAAAGATGAAGCCAGTGAGTGTGGTTGTAGCAGTCATCCTGTACTCACTGAGTCCTATTTGGTTGGCAAATGAGCCTTAGCATTGACCAGGCAGGTTCTGGAGCTTTTTCCACAGTGTAACCATCTCCTTGGGACTCCGTTTGTGAACAAGCAGAACAGATCTGTATGCACAAGGATTTTCCCTTTCTCCTGCTGGGAGGTCAAATGTTAAAAAACCCGGGTGATGGGTTGGAGAAAGCCCGAGTCTGTGCAGGCACATTCCAAGATACACATCATCAATAGGGAAAAGGTGGACCCTCTCAGACACCTCTTTCAAACGTAGTGCAAGTGATCCAGAATACACCACCCCTCCTCCCCCAGCATAGGGTGGATACACTCCCTTGTAGAAATTTTCTGGTATGTAGTATTTTGTGGACGGTTCACGGTTTGGCATTGCATTAGTAATCACGTCCCCAATGAACATATCCATCTCAGTTTTCCTTTTTAAAAGTAGCTGTAGTTTGTGCTCCTCCTTGTTCTTGTGCAGATAATCCAGAAGGGCATTTGTTCTGACAAAGACGTCATCGTCCCCTTTGAAAACAAAGATGGCAGTGGGACAGTACTGCTCGAACCATCGCCAGAACAGCAAGTCCTTTAGGGTCAAATTATAAAACGTATCTCTGAAGTCCCACAGTAGAATATCCCCATACTTCAGGTTCTCTAGCTCCAGGAGATTCTTTAGATCTGGGTGTGGACCTGTACCTGAGTCCTGCCTTCCGAGAAGAAAGACTGTGCGCACCAATCCACCTTTTTTATTTGATTCCCCTTCCACCAGACCACTGCGTCCCCATGTTTCACGGATTGCCTGCCTATTTTCAAAGTTTCCCACTTGAGATTTGATAGCCATGAGGAGCATGGGAGAGTCCAGATCAAAGCTACTGTTGTCTTTCCTACACATACCAGGTTGGTTGATAAGAAGGGGGTACTCCCTGTAGTACATTGACCTGATAAATGCCCTAATCTGTTCTGGCAGCCTGTTTATATCTTGCATGTGAGGGACTGAACACTTATGTGATGTGTTGTCAGAAATACATTCATTGTTAATCTCTGATAAAAACTTAGCTTTGGGCTTCCTCTGTATGTGAGTTGTGTTTCCTCTCAGTAGTGGATTGTGCTCACGGTCCCAAGCATGCTGAAGCTGGTTCCACAGAGCACTGTCCTCCAAACGAAGGTTCCAGAAAGGCCCGAGTGGATGGGAGGCCATAGTTGAAGAATTAGCAGAAATCCCTGGAGCAATATAGTGGAGAGTTATTTTTGGCGGAGCGTAGGAGATGGTGATGAATATGGAGATGCCAATATAAATTAAAAGATGGCCAGTCATCATACAAGGCAGCAGACACAAGCACAGCAGTCTCCCATTGCGTTTGCAGCATTTTCCCATTGCCTGTGGTATACAAATCAGACACACACCTGCACACAGAAAAACATGAGGCGTTCTTTTAAAGATAATAATGCAAAGCAGAGAAAGAAAAATGGCACTGCCTTCACTGTACAGATTTATGCAACAGAACGAGTCTCATAAGAGGTTTTATAGCAAACACTGCCATCAACTCAAGGGAGGTTTTTTGTCTCCTTAGTGATGGTCCAGGGAGGTTTATTATCTGTTCTTCTCTACACATTCACAACATCATCTAATACCTACCTGTCGACAGGTACTCAGCCCCTGTAGGAACAATGTGGAAAATGTAATATGAAACAACAAGGATTATTTGCCTCTTTCATCAGTTACTGCTTCCATATTGTATTTGACTTGAAAAGAATGGCCTATTGATTCTACATCTATCTAATTCCAAGGATGGATGAATAGACTAAACTTACCTGCATCTTTTAGTCTACAAAATACACTTGTTAGAACTGCTACATGTGTTTCCTACAACTCTGTCAAACTCTTACAAGTTTAGGCAATGGACGAAAGAGGAAACACAGAAGTACTTACAAGTGAGGGAACTTTCGTTGGTTATGGCGAGTGGGAAAAAAGGCACAGTCACCTGTGGTGTCCACTTCTTGTTTTAGTTTTAGCATCCGGCCTCGTCATGAGCTGGTTATTAAGCCGCAGCTGTGTAGCACAGTTTGTATTGTAGTGCATCATTTGGTCCTTCAGCGTTGGGGACTTTCAACCGCAGCTGAGCAACGTGTCCCAGGTGAGTCCTATGCGCACCGAGCATGCGCTCCTTTGGCTCTTTGACGCTTAAACATAACGAGGAGAAAAAAAAGAACAAAGGGATCCACATGATTTGGTGTACTGTCTCCTGCCAACACATTAATTTTATTTACATGCGTTGCAGGTGTAGAGGCTATTTGCATGATGTAGCCAGATTGTCTGGACCCACCCAACCGCAAATTATAAATGATTAGTGGTTTAAGGTTTCACTTAAGTACACAAAATATATGTGACTGACACACAGAATATATATATATATATATATATATATTCTGTGTGTCAGTATGTTTGTGTGCGTGTAGATACAGAGATACAGTTAGTGTACAAGTGTATTATGCAATTTTATAAAGACAATCAAGGTAACACCGACATACCTCCATGCATAACACCCTGTGACGGACACTGCGTCAGACCAATAGAGCACGCGTCTGGCAACAGGTTACGGGCTAAACAGTCGAGGGCTTTGGGGCTAAATCCCCGGATGTGACCAATAGAACCAGTTGGGGGGCGGGGCATTGTGTAGTCTGCTTACGTTTGTTTTGCGTGAAGCAATACATGTTTGGTTGAGCTTTGAATGAGGAGCCATCATCCCGGCGGCTAGGAGGTGGAAAATACATTTCAAAGTATCTCCGGATGAATTCAAAATGAGCAAGCAGGCTTTTTCCACAGGTACTCCAGTGACTGTTAAGGTTCACTTTATCTCGGTGCTGGGTAAGCGTGCTTTTTTTTTTTAAAACAATGAAAGAGAATTGATTTGTAAGCGACAAAACATGCCACAGACCTGTTTGTCTGTGACACAAAGTAGCAAGGTTGCTAGCAGATTTTTTCGCACTCTTGTTTTTTTTTTTTTTTTTTTTTTTTTTTTTTGAGCGAGAGGGGGGGCGAGGTGAAGAGGATAAGGGGGAACTATCAGTCATTCCGAGACAAAAGAAACCCTAATATCTTCACCAATATGTGGCTGGGGGCAAATGACAGCCAGCAATGAGACCAACTCGCCTTTTGTGGCTCGTTGAAGTCTACATCCCCTTGCCATTAAGTAGCGTTAGCTTATTCTTCGAATCGCGTGTGTTATACAGGCGATCTCGGAGAAGAAGTAACCCAAACAGATCGTTGCAGACATATTATTGTTGCTTATTCCCTTCGTAAGATCCCGATAGGATGCCAGGATTTCGAGTTGACACGAATCAACGAATGAGGAGCAAATAACAAACGGCCTAATCGGCACGTTTTGTTCTCCTGACTCCTTAACTTGCATTGAGACTTTGTGTTCACTTTGAAGGCTCTCACACTCGCCAGCGGCTTGTCCCTGAGATTTTGTTATTTCGAAAAACCATTGCTTCTCTTCAGCATATTAACCACAACGCTTAAGTGATCATTCATGTGGACCAAATAATTGCTTTTCATTGAACTCAATCCGTGTATTGAAAAAGCCATTAAGCTTTCATCCAGTAGCTGTTATTTTGCGTACTACAGCTAGAAATATTGCTTGGCGTGCTTTGCTGTTTGGACAGTATCAAACAAACACAGAATTAAGATTGTAGTTAATTATTTTAAGGAAAGGTCTCTCTCTGGAAGCTGCTCTTACTGTTGGAGTCCAAGGGTTAAGCATTAAGTGAAAATAATTCTTAGAAGGAGCTTGGACTTTCAGAGTAACACACTAAGGATATTTATCCCTTCCACCTGGCAGCTATCTTGAGAAATCTGCATCTACCAGTAGTTCTGTCTGGATTTATTTGAGTCCATTGATCTGTAGCGCAGCTGTCTAATCCAAAAGCAATGGAGTATAGTCTTGGCAAGACTGAGTCCGCAAAGAAGATGCATTTTCAAATTTCCTTTAGTAATTTAATTACAGTTGTCTCTGGAGGTCCTGTTTGAATTGCACAGTCTGAGCATGTGTGCTTCCGTCAATAGGCTAGAAAATGGCTCTTTGCAATAAAAAAGACAGGTCTAATACAGGAGGAGGTTACACGTCCGAGTCAAAGCTCACATCAGTGTCCTGAACTTGGTGTTTAGTGTGTGTTCCACATTTCATGAGCTGTTTTCTGCTTAGTTGCTAGTCCAATTGAGGATGAGGTTGAGGTTTAGAATTGCTCCACTCAGTTGTAGTGAAGGGGAATATCAGATTGAAAGTCAAAAGAAAAGCATCCTGGAAGCTTAAGAGTTTATCAGGAGTAGGTGGGCCAGCAGGTTTCATCTGAAATTCCCTCTAGGAACCTGCTACTGACCAGGATTAAACAGTCCTCAGTTTCCTTATGATAGGGTAATAACAGGTTTTGGTTACAGAAATGCTATAGATTGCTACCTAAGATGGGTGTTCTTCCCTGTTAAGTAAAAACAATACTTGAGCATAATTATATACCCTTTAGTTGTTTCCAAAGCTGACTATATACTGGGGAACAGGATCAAGTGCACCATCCACCATTTGGAATAACAGATTTACATGGGTTAGGATCCTTCAAAAGTTTAGTATTGATTTGTCTAGAGCTGCATTTGTGTGAACAATATGCATGTGATGCTGAATAACTACATTAGAGACCAAAATATTTGATGTAAATAGTGAAATGCAAGGGGGCTGTACTAACAAGCAAATCCAGTATACCAGGATGAATTGTGATATTTGGGTTCACTCACTCTAACATCGGCAGTCGGGCTAAGTGGTCACACAACGGTTCCTATCAACTCGATAAGTCAAGCTAGGCTTTTCAAGTCTAGCTATGAGCACATTCACACAGTGGTGTTGGCCACATATGGCACAAACATGCATACATTTACTGGTAGCGGGGTGGCCTATTCTACTTTAAAATAGAAAACTACAATAATAGAAAATATGAAGTGGTCAAAGACACATGTCAAGCTAAAAGTAGCACATTTATTGCAACCAAAGCAGCATTGTATGTAAATGATATAAATAAGAAGTATATTAATGTGTGGTTAGGAAGACTGGAGCAGCACATAAAAACTCTATTTAAAGCCCAGTAGAAAACCAGCAAGTAAGCTTTGTATGTGTAAGTTAGTAGACTTCTCAGCACCACAACTCTGTCATAGAAGCACAGGATGAGCATTAGCTTGGTACGATGGATGCAACCCTGGTGGTTTTAGACTGTGTGAGAGCAAGTAACGATCAAAAATATAAACAGAACTTAAACTGGCAGGTAAGTAGAACTGCAAATTTTATACAAGGTCAAGGCTTTATACGAGCCTTAGCGTTCTTTTAGTGTTATATAACTCTTTTAAAGGCTAAACAACAACATATAAAATTGCTTAAAAGCTGCTAGTAACCACAGTGTATGTCTAATTAGTTGTTGACAGAAAATGACAAAAGTGAAAGTTATATTAAGTTAATAAGTAGGCTGTGGGTTTCAAAACTTGGGTTGAACCTAAAGTTCCTCCACTAAGCCCCAAATACTGCTTTGTAATATAGGACTGTGATAAATATGTATAATAAGTGTTGCTCTGTTGCCTGTACTTGAAACATGTTTCTGTAAATAGTGTATTGGTGAAATTTATTTTTTTTAGGCTATGTCAGTAAGTACCCAGATTTTCAAATCAAATGCAGCATGGCAACAAATGCTGTTCATCATTTCTATATATCTTTAAATAGCCAGTGAGATGACCTGTGAGTGTTGTAGTCCTAAAAATACGTCTCTGTTTAAAGTGTTTGCAAAAGTTAGGTGTTAATGGCTTTAATAAAAAAAACAAAACAATATATGAGAGGTGAGAGATGGTTGTTAATACGGATGCATCACATTTTTGTGCTTCGTGTGCAGTGGGAGAGGTGATAGTGGAAAGCTGTGATACAAATGATTTAAAAAAAAACAAAAAACTTTAAGTTTAAAAGAAATGCATTCAATTGTTCATCTCACTTAATATTTTCTTAGGTGTCTTACTCGTGCACAAATGTTAATGTGTGTTTTCTCTGTTTTCTAGGTTTCTTTGGATTTATTCCCCTTCAATCCCTATATTTAGTTTGACTTCTGAAGACCAATGCCTTAGTTCTGATCAAACATTACTCGTAAAAGACATACATACGCTGGGTATATTAACAGTGAATTCAGACCAGTCAACTATATCACTCCCCCCAAACCCTTCTTTCCCAACTCAAGACAGATTAAGAGGGGCATCAGAACATTCAACAAGCTACCATGTCCTCCATCCTTCCCTTCACCCCACCTGTTGTGAAGCGGCTCTTGGGATGGAAGAAGACTCCAGCGGGGAGCGGA